GAATATAAAAGAGCCGAACACGAGCTCGTTTACACCCCTAGTAAAATGGCATATATATACAAGTGATAGGTGTTAGATATGTAAATATACAAGAACTGAGTGGTATATATGCAAATCTTTTTTTTTTAGGTGGCTAGGAAACATTATTTAATATGTTTGAGGACTTGTGAGATATATGAATATTGATGATTGATTAAAGACGTAAATATTATTGTAAATGCTGAATCAATTTTTTAAGCATTTCTAATTAAAATTTTATGATGATTTCTTATACATTACTCTACCCTAATTATTTCTGTTTAGTTAAATGCTAAAAAAATATATCTTAAGCCAATTATAATTATGTTGGTAAGAATATAAAAATAATAATAAATAATAATAATAATAATCGTGTGGATCGATAAATAAACTAAATATGATGTACCAAATTATCAATGTTATGATTTATGGGACAAGATGATGTGTGCATATATTTTGATTAGTGTGAAATATATATAAAGTTTCATAAGTTTATGTTACTGTATTTATTTGATATTTCTTAAATTTAAGAAATTGATTCTAAGAAAATTGTTCCGGCGCAAATATGTATAATCAGTTTTATCAAACTATTCCTGCAGTTAGGGGTGTAAAAGAGTCGAACACAGGCAAACTCAAGCTCGTTTATATTTCGAGCTCAAAAAATGTGTTTGTGTTCGACTCATTTGCTTAGCGAGCCGAACATGAGCTGTTCACAAACAAAGAGTCGTTTTGATAACCCTAATCATGTTGTCATAAGATGTTAGGGATTGAGACAAGATTTAAAATATCATATGAATCTAGTTTAATAATTTTTATTCTATTTTCTTAATCAATATTTTAATTGATTATAAATCTTTGTAGCCTTGTAGTTAATTAAACTTTTTTAAAAATACTACAAATATTTAATTAATTAGTAGTATTTTGAGCCGAATCGAGCCGGAAACAAACCGATAAATATTTATTCTTATTGTTCGTGTTTGACTTGTTAACTTAGCGAACGAGTCAAACACGAGCTTCTTAACGAGTAGCAGAACACGACCTTTTCCAGCGTTTTCACAGCTCTACCTGCAGTCCAACTTATTTCCTTTTCCCGCGTTTTCACAGCTCTACCTGCAGTCCAACTTATTTGGCGTGTTTTATTGAACTGAGAAATCTTTAATAAAAAAATAAATCATCATGTACTTTTTAAGACATCCGCATTTGAATATTATTCAATATAAACATATAAATTATTTTTTATTTAAAATTATTCGAACTGAATTTTAAAATGATAAAAAATTATGACGATTATCTGTTAAAAATGATACAAACTTTGATGCATATATTAGACATCATAGGGTTATAAGTGTAAATACCAAACTTTTGTTGTTGCATAAGAAGCAAACTGAATTCCTCCACTTTCTTTGGTGAGGACCTCCGCCGACTATGGCAGAGGCACCATCATCGGAATCCTCGACACCGGCGTCGACATCAGCCACCCTTCTTTCAACGACACCGGCATGCCGCCACCGCCGCCGCCCCCCCAATGGCGAGGCGGCTGCGAATCCCTCAACTGCAACAACAAAATCATCGGCTACAAATCATTCATCAAAACCAGCAATCTAACACCGGCAGTCAACACCACCACCAGCACCGAACACGGCACACATGTCGCCAGCATCGCCGCCGGAGTGTTCTTCGACGGCGCAGAAGTCCTCGGCAATGCTAAGGGGGTCTCCGCCGGCATGGCCCCCAAAGCTCATCTCGCCATCTACCAAGTCTGCTCCCAAGACGGCTGCAGTGATAGCGATGTGCTCGCCGGAATAGATCAGGCCATCTACGACCAAGTGGATCTGATTTCCATTTCGTTTGGATCCGATGAATCCAGGCCTTTTTACGAAGACAGTGTGGCCATCGGATCTTACTCGGCGCTGAGGCGCCGGATACTGACAGTAGCGGCCGCGGGGAATGGGGGGCCGGCGGTGGGGAAGGTGGCAAATGATGCGCCGTGGATTCTAACAGTTGGAGCGAGCACCACTGACCGGAGGATTACGGTGGCGGTGAAGCTCGGCGACGGAACACAGCTTGTCGGAGAGTCGGCTTACCAACCGAGCTCTTTCAATTCAACGGAAGCTTTGCCTCTTATATTCCCGGGATTCAAGATGCGAGGTGGCGGGGATAAGGGTTGCAGAAACGATTCATTCGACGGGGTTGATATTGTAGGGAAAATCGTGTTGTGTGAGACTCGGTTTGGTGCGGACAACATTGATAAAGGCAAGAATGTGAGAGATGCGGGTGGAGCCGCCATGATTGTGTTGAATCAGGAGGAAGAAGGAGAGACGACTTTATCAGAAGCTCACGTGCTTCCGGTAGCTCATTTGAGCTACTCGGCCGGGTGTTTGATGGTGGCATACTATAATTCTTCGACGAATTCGAATGCAAACCCTAAGGCGGCGTTCATGTACTCCGGAACGAGTTTTGGAGCTCCTTCCTCTCCCGCGGTGGCATCCTTTTCGTCGCGGGGGCCAAGCGCTAACAATGGAGGAATTCTGAAACCAGACATCATTGGGCCCGGAGTGAACATTTTGGGGGCGTGGCCGAGGAAGGTTGGTCCGGATAATCTTATCCGAATTTCGTCTCCAGAATCGAACTTCAATTTTCAGAGCGGAACCTCCGTCGCTGCTCCCCATCTTTCCGGCATTGCCGCTCTTCTAAGGAGCGTTCATCCTCACTGGTCAGCATCGGCGATAAAATCAGCTATCATGACAACGGCAAGCACAGAAGATGCGGGAGGAGAACCGATCACCGATCAGCTCAACAACGGCACGACGGCCAGCCGCTTCGCCATGGGAGCAGGTCAAGTGAATCCAACAGAAGCCGATAACCCCGGGCTCCTGTATAACCTGCACGCACATCGGTACAAACGTTATCTGTGCGGGCTGGGATACACCGACCGACAAGTGACGACGATCACGCAGCATCATTCGAGATGCTGGAGGTATCGCCATGAGGTGGGACCCGAGCAGCTGAACTACCCGTCGATATCAGTGGTGCTAGGTTCGCCGGCGACAAAGACGGTGAGCAGGTGGGTAAGGAATGTGGGAGAGCACAATGTGTCCTACAACGCGAGGATTAAGAGGCCTGAAGGGGTAAAGGTGGAGGTTTTTCCTCCTAGGCTATACTTTCCCCGGCGATATGATACCCGGCGGTTTCAAGTTGTGTTTACAGCAGATACAAGTAAGGTAGGGAGTGGGGGAGTAGCAGTGGGGCAGCTCTCCTGGGTTTCGAATGAGCATGTTGTGAGGAGCCCCATATCTGTAACTCTAACTTAGGCCTATATTAAGACATTTATATTGGGAAGAGACCATAAATCATTATAAAAAATGCAAAAGAAGCACAAGTTTGCAGTCATTTTAGCAATAGAGAGATGCTGATTTCTAAAATTACATTACAATACAACCCCATAAGTTACAGAGAAAGTTATGACACAAATAATGTAAAAAAAGCATACAGGCACATCTTCGATTCACACTGAATATTTGCATGGACTACTCCGAAGAGGAGAATACCTAAGAATTCGGCTTTGTATATAGCTGCTCATCTGTTTTACGCTAATGAGCTCAAAATGCGGCCCAACCTGATGCTGTACTCGTTGGATGCGGAGCTTTATTTGTAGAAGGCAGGTTTCTCTGCAAGTCAACAATTCATTAACAGAAATTATCATATGGAAAAGCGTTGAGGAGGTATTGGTGTTTCAGTATGTAGATTATGATTGAGAAAATTAAGGGGCGTTCATGCATACACTCCAATTCCTATGTATTTACATACCTAAATTTTTACTTCTTACATTCATACCACCCAAATCTTCCATATCACATAAAAAATATCACTTGAAAAGTGCAATACATCTTTTCATGCATAGGTAAGGTGGCATGTAAAAGTTTTTGGTGTTAGAGATGTAAATACATAGGAATTGGAGGAATTGGGTGGTATGTATGTAAATCTCCTGAAAATTAAAATCAAAACAAACTAACCATTATGGTCTAAACATATGAAGGAAAGCGAAGCCGCATAATTAACTGGTTTTAGTACCCTAATCCTCAGTTTATACAAGTCGATGAGCTTCAAATTCTGACATTAAAACTTCAGGAGAAAAACAGAGCAAACCCTAAAGTTGACCATAAGTCTCATTCAAGTTTCTAGCAACTGAAGATACGCATTGAAATTTATGATGGTCGACTTATCCCCTAAAGTGGCAGATTGTCGGTCCTCATGGAAAGGGGTGTTAATGAAATAAGCTACACTGGATGACAAGTGTCGTAGGCTCATATAGAAAGGATGATGACCTGTGAAGCTTTCTGAAGTTCTATATGGCCCTAATTAAGGCTTCTTTTTTTTTTTTAATTTGTAATTTTCATGTAGGTCGGACAGACTTATACTAGAATTAATTCCATTATCAATAAAATTCACATTTTGCAGGAAAAAAAAATGCAAGTCATGTGTTAATATATAAAAGCTTGATAGTTCTTTTTAGTGAGTCTTTGTGTCTGCAACATTATAGTTGGATAAATAAATTTTTAAAAATATTTCAAAAATGTTCATAGTCTATGCATGCAAACAGGGATGAATCTTAAAGCCTTCAGAACTTTCATATGTTATTTGCTCTGTAAAGAGGACTAGGCCTCCTTTTGTGTGAAGGTAGGAGAGAAGAAAGGCCTTTTAATAAGGAGAACACGTCATTATTTTCTCCTACATACACAAGGGATGGCACCGGCAACTGGAAAGCGGCACCAACAAATGCCTTTGGGCTATTTCTTCATCAAAATCCTTGAAAATAATTCGCTCAAAATCAATTTGGTTCAACTTGAAATCAACAGAAAAATATATGTATATATTAGCAAATAATGTTAACGCATAAAAATACTGACAGCAAACTTATAGGCATAAGCACGAGTAGGAATTACACGCGCGTGCGGAGACGGAAAAAGAGAGTTGAGAAAGTGCAGACTCAAAATTATTGACAAATGAATGTATTCCAGGAAAAAAAGAGCACAGACATATTTATTTATATTTAGTAGTTTTGTAAAGTTATAGACAACATATGTGGATGGTGTGAGCATATAAATCATGAATGCATATTCTATGTGCATGCATAAAAATACATAAAAGAATCGATCTGAAATTCAAGGCATACATGTAAAATAAATATTCTTGGTTTGAGCGTTAACAAGTCGATGTATTCACATAAAAATTGTATACAAACATATTTATTTATTTATTTATATTTAATAGTCAGGAAATTATACATAAGTGGAAGGCATGCACGCATGAACCATTCAGGTGCATTATATGTGTGTATTCACTTATGTATGTCAATAATAGATCACTTTTAAAGTCGGAACATAAATTTAAAACAAGCAGTCTTGGTTTGAGTGCACTTCAGAGTCGAATCAAATCGATTATTTTAAGTTGGTTTAATGTATTTATTTGAGCTGATATTAAAATTTCATTCCAAGTTGTCTTTGACTTGCTTGAATTGACATTTTATTACCCCTAGCTCTACAACATCTCCAAATCGCTCATTCCAATTATATCTGAAAGGCTAGTTTCGTTCTAATTAAGGTAACCAACGCATATGTGCATGCAAACATATATTTAAAAAACTGAAAAAATGATAATATAAAAATAAGAAAAAAATTTGCACCTCCAACTGAGAAAGATCAGATAAAGGATCTGCAGAGCTAGTGGTTGATTCATTGGCCACGAGTGCACCGCTTCCGGAATGCATCCTAGACACCGCTGGATCATTAGGAGGAGGAGGCAGAGGTGACCTCAGCTTTGCACCTCCAGATGGTGGCGGCACAAGAAGTGCCCCAGATTTTTTTGTGCTAGAGGCTCCTCCAGACATGCCAGCAGCTGAAAGCATGCCGGTGCCGCTAGAAGGTTTGCTCTTCACATTTATCCGAATAGTCTCGCCTTCCTAAAAATGATCAGAAAGAATAAAAAAAAAGCTTAAGCTGAGTAAATAATGATGAATGAAGTCTAAAACCACTGTCACATGCGCACGAACACACACAACATTAGGACTTTAAAATAGCTGGCACAAGAGAAAGTTAATAAAAAAAACTGGTCCTTTACAAACATAAATAAGTGATATCCCAATCAGCTCAAGATAACACTCCAGAACTTCAATTACGCTCACTCCCAATGCCAACTTTCTATTTTTTTAAAACCTTAAAACTAACACTGCAAAAAAAATAAAAATAAAATGCTGAATAGAAGAATCAGCTCATGTCCCACATTAACAATAGTTTGAAGAACACTGAACAACGACTGCTCAGATAATATAGGGAAAAAGCGGCATCAAGAACAATATGGTTAAAAAATAACCATGTAACATAATCTTCTATCCAGAAGTAGGAAAGGAGTGTTTGAAAGTTATGAAACAAGGGTACATCGAAACGGATGCAGCAACTTCAGGCATTCGGATACTCCAGCAATTGTGTGTGTGCGTGTGCACGCACGTCCATTATATATATATA